TAATGGAAATAACACGATTTGGCGGTCCCATGAAAGTATTTATGAAATTCTTGCCTCTTTTTGAATGCAAGGTTTGTCAAGTAGTTCAAAGAGGGTTAAATTGTCTAATTTTGAGGATCCTCTCTTCCATTGTTCAAAATTCTGTCAGACAAAATTAAATTTTATGATCGAGATAATAGAGATGCTCTTAGCATTCTGGCTAAGACATCTGCAATAAATCTCGAATTCTTGTTCTTTAACTCAAGAGAGATTCCGGCCTGCCGTCCCATGGGGATCGAGTAACTCACATTTTTGTTAAGAAACAAAATTTTCATAACTTGCAATCTCCGTTCGATTGTTGTCATGCTCGGGTAATATGTTTTAAGGCTAGCAACGAGGCTAAAACGGCTTCATAGAATTCACGATAGTCTAAAAAGGAATCTGGTTGACTAAATTATTTACTGGATTAAGATGATGTATGTCGACAGAGCGTTAAATGGATTTCTCCACTTTACGTTTTCGAATAAAAAAGAGGTTTTAGTGAGTCATTCATTGAGTAGATGTTTGCGCTAATCGTAACTAGTTAACTGAGCAAAAGTACATGTTATAACGATAAATAAATGTCACCAGATTTGCATTGGTTTGACCCTGATAGTGTGTTTAGGATGGACCGCTAAGAGCATCTTCTGCCGGGATAATGATGATGATTGTCGGCTTAGTGGAATGTACAAAGTACAGGATCAAACGCTAAAAACTATCTTGATACCAACGACATAAGACACTGGGCAAGGTCTGCTCTTCGAGGTCCCCATGATAACAAGACCATATTTTATGAACAAGATCCGACCAATTCGATACAACAAAAAGAGACTGCAGCCAAACTAGAGGCCACACCATCTTGGTCTTCATACCTTTGATCGCTCGATTATTTGGAGTAACTACACTCGGGGTTGGATAAACCATATTCAACTGCATTTTAAATATTTATAAGTATACTCTTATGTTTCTATTTATTTCTTCAGACAATGGAACTCAAAGAAAACTTTAACAAGAAAGTGATTGGCTTGCGTGATAAGAAGGTGAAGCTCCTTGAAGAATTAAGGACTATAGATTCAGAATTAGCTGTTCTTCATGAATTTTTACCGCCTGAAGAATATTCGATCCGTCTAAAAATTCCCGAAATGGCACCGGAAGAGATTCCAGAAAGGTGAGATGGTATGACTTTTCGCGGCGAAAACACCCTTTAAAAGAGCATCTCCTTTAATTCTAGTAAAAATAGATTAAGCTTTCGTCTGTCAGGCGATTTGGTAGAAATTACCTGGTCAGAAGTTAGTTTTTATAGCAACCTACAACTAATCCTAGCTCAAATTGGCTGGAGAAAATCATTCATTCAGACAAACAAGTACATGGGTTGATCGATGATTTTGTACCCCGCTCTACACATGCAAACTCATAAGTCTACACTCAACTATGAAGGTAATCATATTGAAACGATAATAAAAAACCAAATTACCTGCATAAATTATAAATTTTTAATTATTTGTAGCTGTAAAGGCAAGATAAACCTAGTCAGGCTTTTTGCCTTAGTGTAAAAAGGAAATTTTTCTATGAATGTGATACCAACTAGACGTAAAACAAAAAAATGCTCAGCTCATTTTCACTGGAACCGAGGAGGATGTATCGTCGACTGCGCCAACTTAAACGTTATAATAAAATCAAACGATTACATACCAACGTCGAATAGCCGTCGTCTTGCTCCAAAACTAAAAAATTAATCTCTTTGCCAGGCACTCTTACACAAGATGAAAGTTTTCGTCATAAAACAAAATAAAAGCTCACATTTTATGGCTCAATTTTGAATAGAGATCCTAATCCGTAGAAGCCTCGGAAATTTTTACGAATAGGCAGAGTTAATACTTGATAAACGCTAGTGTCACATTGGGCCTGTTTAGGCGGTGGTTGAATATAATACATCTTCACTATTAAATATTGCTTAATTTTGCCTCCTAAAAAGACTTCTCATGCTGTCGTTTAACTTCTACCGGATCTCTGTAGCAGTCTCACTAAGATTTAAAAATACCAAACGGCAGGCTTTCAAGGCTTATAACATTAGGAGAACTAGAGCTTATAGGACTAACTTGTTTTTGTCATTCAACTTGACGATATTACTATGTATAAAATGAGTAGACGTCTAAAAAATTAGAAGTTACTTTTTATAATTTCATTAATAGCATGAGTAGTAACTTACGAAATTTGGGAATAAAGTTGTGCGTTGTTAGTGGATATATTATTTTGGCTGTCACTCTAAAGTTATATGCCAATACTAAAAAATTGTGTAATTTTATGAAAGTTCAGGCAATTTCAATAGCTTTAGGGAAATTAAAGTTCAAGTGATTAATACAAGCTTTTCGGCTGGCCCAATGCCATTGGCTTGAAAGATTTTCAATACAAAAACGCAATTTTCAGAACAGCTGCGCTCATGCATGTGCAGGTTATTACACAAGCGTGGCAGCAAGATTGGTCTTGAATGATAAAATATGATTTTTCTGTGTTCCCAAGTTCCCGAGCTATAAGTTTGCCTCAAACAGCATAGCTCTATGTGGAATTCATTGTGTTGTTAATGTGGTTGTATTAATCCATACAGATTATCAGAATTAGTATTGCCAGTACAGCCCCATTGAGTTTATGACTCTACGAGGGTGATGACGTTTTACTAAAGCTTAGCGCAATTTAAGATTAACATTATTCGATACCAACACTTTCCGGGGGTTTGCGAGAGACATTAAAGGAGAGCTCAAATTAAATACATTATCCTCGAACTAAATACTCTATGCAGAATCCAAAAAGCTGTCCAATACGACATTTTAAGATAAGCCGTTGACAAAAAAGGAGGAAGCGATGACTTCTAGTTTTCTATCACAAAATCTTTTCGCTTATAATCACTTATATAGAGACGGTAATAAAGGTAATGTGT